TTTAGAATTTGAAAATTAATATTTTATGACCTATCTTTATTAAACATAAAATAATTAAACCTTTTAAATGTTTTAATTGATTCAATTGCAAATGCATATAATTATTGCATAATACAACATGTGCTGCAATAGAATTACATTTATAATTTATAAAGATAAACAGCACAATCACTCGCACACCCCCTTACCGTATCAGTGCGTACGACCGAAACGACCGAGAGTTTTGCTCTGTAACATGAATTTGCAGTGTTCACTATCTTTTGGCATTAAATCTACGTATATCATGGTTGTTATAAAAATATAAAAGCATATTGATCATTTTAAAACTTGCATTCAGTATCATTAAGCAAGAAAGTTTTGTTTAATATTTATACAGATATGTCTAAAACATATAAAAAGTTATTAGTTTGTAAAAAGACGACAAACTTTAGAGAAGCGGTTAAAGTAGTGACTGAACCACTGGTGCCGCCACTCGACCACCAGATTCTAGTGAAGACAGTCTACGCGGGAGTGAATGCAACCGATGTTCTCACTTATGATATACCTCACGGCGCCGGTTATGAGGTCTGTTTCTCAACACTTTTATTTGTGTTTTCAAATAATGTTTGAATGAATAGGCATTAGGAGTGGTAGAGGCCGTTGGCAAACACATCTCCGACTTTACTATCGGACAGACGGTGTTGTTTCTGTTTGGCGATGATCTTAATCTGAGAGCTTATGCTGAATATATAGTGTGTATTATTTGCAACAATTATTTATTAATGTAAATAAACATTTAATTATATATTTGTTTTATAAAAATGTTTAAAAGTACGCTAAGAGTGAGGAATTAACACCAGTTCCGAGTCTTAAGCCAGAGTTCATAGCATTACCTGTCAATGCAATGACTGCCTCTATTGGATTGGATGTGGTATTATTCATATAATTATTATTAATTAAGTAATATTAAAATAATTTATTTTATTTAAATTAATTAAAGGCCGGATTTATTAAGAAAACTGATAAAGTATTAGTGACCGCAGCCGCCGGTGGAACCGGTCTTATGGCTGTCCAATGGGCCAAAAAGAAGGGCTCATATGTTATAGGAATGACATCAACAGAAGAGAAAACAAAGTTGTTGAAAGAGTTGGGAACCGATCGAGTGATCAATTATAAGACAGAGAATTTGGATGAAGTGCTAACCGAAGAGTTTCCGGTTTTATATTTAATTTAATGTTAAATTTTTAAGACTAATTTTGTATTAAATTAATGTTAATAGGAAGGAGTGGATGTGATTTGGGAGACAATCGGTGGCCAAGTATTGGAGAATCTGTATAACCATTTGGCACCAATGGGTCGACTGGTTATAGTCGGCGGAACTCCTGGTTATAAGGATGAGGACAATAGCGATAATATTATCAAAATTCCTGATCTCGCACTTCGAGTATAGATTTACATAAAGTTTACTTTTTTATTGTTAAATGTTTTTGCTTTTATAGCTTTTGAGAGCAAATCAAATGCTGTCTGGATTTCTATTTTACAAACACAGAAATTTATTTCCCAATTACTTAAAACAATTGGTTGAAGACGTTGTGAATAACAAATTGCGAGTTGTCTTAGATTTTGGCCAAAAGTCAAGTGAAGGAAAATTCAATGGAATTAATTCTGTGGTCAGAGGAGTGGAGGTATGCATAATATTTCATAACTATTTTAAACTAATTTTGATAAAAAGTTAGTGATATTAATAATGTTAATATATTTCGTATAATAGTATTTGCATTCTGGACGTAACATTGGAAAAGTAATCGTTAAAATACAAAATCCGTAAAATAAATGTTGATGTACGGATGTGCTGTAAAGTTTACAAGTTGCATTGTATTCAGTCATTCTTATTTAAAATTGTGATCTTTATTATTAAAATTGTTTAATTTATAAAAATTCAAATGATTAGAAATATTACAAATTAAATTTTTTACAATAACAATAAAAATTGATTAAACTTGGAATTTGTTTTTTACAATTTTGTATACTAAATATTCTAATTCAGTGTAATACAGGTATTTATATTTATGATTCTCGGACGTAATACTGGAAAAGTAGTTATCAAACTTAATTAATTAATTGAGTGATTGATTTTAACCATATATTGCGTTAATTGTAACTAAATTCTTAAAGCAAAATTCATTATAAATACAAAATTTATGAATCAATTTTAATTAATATGACAAATACTATTTTGATTTCATAAATGTAATCATAAATTAGTTGTAAATTCTTAAATAATTAAATCTTTATTAATAAATTCTTAATTGTTGTAAAAAATACTAAAAGTATCTAAAGAGCTAGGTATTTTCTAAATACTAGGTATTTTAAAATATTTAAAATAGCTATTTTAAGCCCTAAATACATATTGCAAAAAATTAGCAAATTATTTCCTCGTTTTTCTCCACCTTTCATAAAATAATGGTAAAAGTTTTCGTGAAATAGTCGGCATATATTGGGATATATATGTAAACGCCAGGACTGGATGTATTGAAATCCATGACTAAACATTTTTAAAAATAAGTAAATTTTTAAATATGTATAATTTTGAAAAACATGTAAAAAGTCAATTACTTCATCCAATTGGTTGGCAATGGCTATACCCGAAAGGTAAGCGCAACGAGACGTCTCCATCTGTTTAACAAAACTATTGTCTTTAGGCTCGTATTTAACGCCTTTATTTTCAGTCAACACATTGTCCACAATTCTCGATACTACGGGTCCGGGACATAGCATTGTCACTGATATGCCCTTTGATCTAATCTCAGACCTAACGCTCTCAAAGTAACCCTTTATTTAACAATAAAGTTGCAAATAATTTAAATATTACACAATTAATTAAACAAATCAAATATGTCTT